AAAAAAAAAAAAGTCCACAGGGTACTTGGGTGGCTTAGTCGGTTAAGCGTCTGCCTTGGCTTAGGTTTTGATCTCAGGGTCCTGGGATCGAGCCCCGCATTGGGCTTTCTGCTCAGTGGGGAGCCTGCTTCTCTTTCTCCCTCTGCCCCTCACCCCTCTCGTGCTCTCTCTCTCAAATAAATCAATAAAATCTTAAAAAAAATAAAAGCCCTGCTCACGAAACCCAATCTTCTCTTTTTTTTATGCTTGTTAGTCAGCTCCAAACCAGACTTTAATTCATTCAAAGGCTAAGATGATGATGGTTCCTATTTTGTCCTACACACGGCCAGGCACACGGTATGTATCCCACAGACACACGCTCTTGGCACTTGGAACTTGCCCGGCAGGAGCCTGCCCCTTGCAAGGCTGAATGTTGGCCAGCAGCTTCACTCCTTTGCACTGCGACTCGACCTCGTCATCCACCAACAAGGAGATTAGATCACTTAGGAAAGCGAGGGCAGCTCATCCTAGGAAGAGTCAATCAGACGCATTTACTCAAGATGGCCGAAGATCTGACGATGCAGGGGGGTCAAGATATAGAATTTTCTAATTCGATCATCCAAAACCTTTCAGGCACAAAGCCAGAAGCTGCTGGGACATCCTTAAACTGAGAGAAGTGACATTTTTGAGGATGCCAGTGTGCACACCCCCAACACACACATTCCACTCACACACCTGCTGACTCGCATTCCAGATCATGGAGTCGCCACACTCAGCACTTGGCTTGATCCTCTTCAGCTCAAGACCAAAGGTTCTGCAGGGAGAAACCTAAGCTCCCAATGTGGGGTCTACACAAGCAAAAGAGTACGATAGGGCCAAAGAAGACAGAGCAACGTCTGCCTCAACTGTGTTTGCTGATCTCTGCTGGGAGATGCTCTGACAGCAAATCAGAGAATTAAGAGTCAAAAGCTTTAATGTGCAGGTAAAACTAAGCCTCAGGAGAAAGCTCAGTCCGCTCACGACTTGTGGGTGAAGTTGGCCGAGAGCTTGAATATGGTGGGCAGAATGTGAGTGCTAAGAACCAGAGCCTTGTAGGACCGCAAGGAAGAGGGGGAAAGAGTGGTCATGCCCTTATGATTCAGTCATGCCGATGAGGGGCTAGCAAGCATTGGCTTCTAAAATTCCTTTTCGAAGGCCCACAATATTTTCCCCAGAATGTATGCTCTTGGAATCACAGGGTCAGAATTAAACCCAAGGGACCAAATAACTGACTCGGAAGAAAAGACAGGAAGACACGTACAGACACCAGCGCCCCCCGCCCCGCACCACCAAGGGTCCAGCTTTCTCTTCAACCGAAGATGTCAGAAGAGCTGCGAATGTCCCATTAGTAGGTTAATTTGGGTTTGGAAGAAATTAGAGAATGCGGCAAGGAAGATGAAATTATGCTGGGAGATAGTACTCTCCTAGGCAGAGAGGGGGCGTTATCCAGAGGAGATGCATGCAAAGGAGTCAGGGGGTAAGAAGAACAGAGGCGGAAGTGGCAGAGGCTTAGGAAAGGGGGCATCAGCCAGCACGCAGGTTACATTACCTTGATGGGCTCGCATTTCGGGAAGGGCCTTTTCTAAGACTGCTAATGCTTTTCTATGGTAATCTGCTTGGGCTTCTAATAACTGAGAACAGACCCACATTCAAAAACAAAAGTAACGTTAGCATCGGATGGACACACACACAATGGCTGAGCAAAACCAAAAATGAAATCTTTTGCAAAAAAAGCTAAAACAACTCAATTTTTACAATGCTTTCATATTTTGGCAAGGTGAGGGGCTTACCGTAACAAAGAATTTGCCATACTCCCCTTCTTTGGCCATAAAGTTGTACATATCTGCTGCAAGTTGATCCTGGTGAAGAGAAAACAGGTCACTGAAGAAAATGGAATCTGAGAATTAATATCCATGGGCCCTTAGAGCAAAATGTCACAGAAAGAGCCACGGATTAAATGTCCACCAACTGGTGGGGCGCCTGGGTGGTTCAGTCAGTTACGCGGCTGCCTTCAGCTCAGGTCATGATCCCAGGGTTCTGGGATCGAGTCCCGCTTCGGGCTCCCTGCTCAGCAGGGAGTCTGCTTCTCCCTCTTCCTCTGCCGCTCCCCCGATTCATGCGCGTGCACTCTCACTCTCTCTCAAAAAATAAAATCTTAAAAAAAATAAATGTCCATCAACTGGGATGACAAAAAAAAAAAAAAAAGGAAGCTTATTAGGGGAACGATGATGGAGATACCCAAGATATATGGGTAATACTCCTTACCAAGAAGTGACATATAGAGCATTACTTGTTATGTTACCATCTGTGTAAAAATAGGGGAGAAAGAAATACTCTATTTTTACTGCCACATGTGTATAAAAATATATAAATAAAAACTTGAAAAATAAATTTAAAAAAAAAGGAAGAGAAAAGGCCTAGCATAAGTGGAGCTCAGCAGTGCATGGAAAGACTAGAGTACTTGTGTTTTGCACTGGCTCTGGGGCTGAGAAAGTAAAAACATCTCCCTGGATTTTACAAACACAGATCTGCCTTCATGAGGCTCTGAAGTTTGATGGCCTCGAGGGTGGGTCAGTCGGTTAAGTGTCTGACTTCGGCTCGGGTCATGATCTCAGGGTCTCGGGATTAAGCCCCACATTGAGCTCCCAGCTCAGTGGGGAGTCTGCTTCTCCCTCTCTCTCTGCCCCTCCTCCCTGCTCATTCTATCTCCCTCTCTCTCTCAAATAAATAAATAAAAATCTTAAAAAAAAAAAATGGCCTCAAACTGGTAATACTCTCTGGGGAGAATCACTCCCAATACTTAAGAGTCCCTTAGACAAAGTCTCTCTTAAAATGAGCTCACAATACATTGCAAAACATATGATACAAAATTGCAAAACACAGGAGGCAACAGTCCACCATGAAGCAAACTCCCACCACTCTCATAGAGGAAAGAGAATTACCAGACTGTTACTATAAGTATATATAAAATGATTAAATATTAAAAAAGAAATAGGCACTAGAAAACAATAATGCACTATCAATACAGGCTAACTTGGAATTATTAGAACTGAAATATACAGTAAATGAAATTCAAACCTTGACGTTAGTTATATAGTAGATGAGACCTAACTAAAGAGAAAATCAGGGAAAAAGAACTTAGATCCCAGGAAATTACCCAAAAGTTAGCCTAAAGAGAGAGACAGAAACTATTTTCACAAGTTTTCACCATCTGAAGATTTTTTTTTTTTATTTGACAGAGACACAGTGAGAGAGGGAACACAAGCAGAGGGAGTGGGAGGGGGAAAAGCAGGCTTCCCACAGAGCGGGGAGCCCGACGTGGGGCTGGATCCCAGGACCCTGAGATCATGACTTGAGCCAAAGGCAGACGCTTAACGACTGAGCCACCCAGACGCCCAGGTTTCACCATTTGAAATGAGAAGCTATGGCGTGGAAGTTGAGAGAAGACACATCAGCCAGTTCAGACTCCTAAGACCTCTGCCAAATTTATGTCTGATAAGTAGCCGATAGCTGAGATCCAGGTTAGACTGGATGTGAGGAAAGCTACGTAAATGACACTAGTAAAGCTATGACTCTTCTGAACAGGAATAAGCCACTATGAAACTATTTTATCAGAAGCATTTATCTGAGTATCATTTTTTTAAATACAAAGGCTATGTATGGTATGACTTTATGAGTTCAGTTTTAATTCCTACCCACTATACACTATATTATTTTAAACAAGTCATTTTACTGCAGTTAACTGATCTTCAAGTTCACTATCTTGAAGAATGAATTACAGCATGACCTGAACAAACTAAAATATTATATTCCTAACACTATCTAAAAGAATAGATACCATTTTCAGAAAATGATGAATAATAAGAGGAAGAAAAACCCAGATCTTAAGATTCACCAAAAACCTGTTTCTTTACTACCTCAAATAACATTTGGAATAAAGATCTATCTTCACAGATAGAATGAGACCACTTAACCATCTGATCTGGAATTTATTTTATGAGATAAAAAATTATATTTCTCCCAATTACAAACCAGTTGTCCCAGCAACATTTAAAAATAATCCTTTCCTTCTCTGTGGATATATGATGACCCCCCCCTTTACTATATATTCAATTTTTTAAAATGCTAGCGTTGATTCTAGAAAATCTATGCTATCCACAGATCTATTTTTGTGCCTCTTGTGCATTTTTTAAAAAGATTTTATTTTGGGGGGCACCTGGGTGGCTCAGTCTGTTGAGTGTTTGACTCTTGGTTTAGACTTAGGTCATGATCTCAGGGTTGTGAGATGGAGCCCCATGTAGGGCTCTGCGCTCAGTGGGGAGTCAGCTTGAGAGTCTCTCTCCCTCTTCCTCTGCCTCTCCCCCGGCTTGTGCTCTCT